CCCTTTGGGACAATATCTTGCCTCTGGCCCCTTCCTCTTCCTCTGCTTTGTGCCTACCATGAGTTTTCCTCTGCTACATCTTTCTGCCATGATGCCCTTCAGGCCCAGAGCAATGGAGCCAGCTGACTATGGACTGAAACCTCTGAAATCACGAGCCTTCAATAAACTTTCACTCCTTTAAGTTGTTTATGTCAGGTATTTTGGTCATATTGAAGAAAAGGTGAGTAATCTACCCAGCCAGATCCAGAGCTTGAAAGTGAGTTAGTGGCCTACTCTAGATCATTCCACACTCAGCTGACCCATTGAGGCAGGAGACATAACTGCTCATATTGCATTGGGAGGCCCTGATTGTTATATGGCATCTCTACAAGCAACTTCCCCCCCCCTTTGGCTTCACCAGTCTTATAAGAATTATGTGATTATCTCCTGCCACATGAAGTCATTCTCTATTGAGAATTCTTTTGATGTTTGAGGCAGACTGATGCTCACTCTGAGACCAAGTGGAAAACTGAATAAAATGCAGAAAATCTTTTCTAAATTTATTGGAGAACTGCTGAGTTGACAAGCAACTGAAGGGCTATGAAGAAGAAGGAAAGCACAAGAAGGTTAGTTGACATTCTATGAACCACTTTCCTCTTCAGGTTATTTGTTGATTCTGGTGAAGAGGCTGAGCACTTGGGCAGAAGGTCACAACTAAGGGCAGCAAAGGCAGCAGAGTCTCTGCAGCTGGAGAGAGAATAAACTGGAGACTGAGGTTGCCAAGGCATCTAGGACTGGAGGGGCCAAGGTGTCAGAGAGAAGGGGGACACAGAAAAGTCACTCTGATGCTTGGGGGTTGCCCCCTGGACATATTTGCTGAATTATTAAGCTGAGCAGAAAGCCTATGAAAGTCAGCAGGTTTTTGGCAATGTTATAATATTAAAGAAATACAAATCAAAGTTCAGTACCCACAGAAGAAGAGAAGGCTACGTACATACGTACCAGAGTTTTTGACTGGGATCTTTGCAGGATTACATTCTAGAAATTGGGGCAAACCTGAGGTAGAGATAGAGCCTTACAAAAACTGTAACCCAGACTCTAGTCAGTTCAGTACCAGATTAGAGTAAAATGACCCCTACCTACTCTGTCTACCACAGGATGTGGTAATCCATCTCTGGAGGAATATGTTATCTAGTTAATTTCACTGGAACCACTATAATTCCTCAGCATTCAACAATAAATGATCAAGCACTCTTGAAAACATAACTAACCCAATAAAATTGATCCACTAATGACCTAGATATTAATGCTATAAAACACACTTGATTGAGAACATGGAGACATTCATCAAAGAATGGTAATTGATTAGGAGGAATCAGATGAAAGTTTAGAACTGGAAGATGAAGAATAATTGAAGAACTTAGTATAGATTTAACCACAGTTAGACCTGGCAGAAGAAAGAATTATTGAACTATAATACAGGAAAGTATAAAAACTCAGAATCACAGAGATAAAGAGAATAGAAAATATAGTGAAGAACATGAGTGTCTTGTGGGAAATGGTGAAAATATCTAACATATGTTTAACTGATATTTCAGAAGAAGAGAGAAGGAAATAAGAGCAGTACCAATCATTAAAGAAAATTAATTAAGATAAATAGAAAACTGGGCTGAGTACTTTCTGAAACTGATGAAGTTTTATGACCCCGAAGCAGGATAAATAAGAAAATTACACCAAGGCACACAGTGGTGAAAACTGAAGACAGAGAAAGGACACTAAAAACAGCCCAAGGGTGAGGTTGGAGGACATTATCACTTTCACAGGAGAAACAACAGCATGGACAACCACTTGTCAAAGCAATGATCAAAGTTGTTGAGATACCATTTTTAATTGCTGAAAGAAAACAATGTCAACCTAGAATTCTGTATCCACAAAAATATGCTTTAAAAATGAATTTGAAATAGAAAATTCTATTCAAAGTCACAAAAAGCATGCTGCCAGCATTTCTGCACTCTAGGAAATACTAAAGGGAGTTCTCAGGGTAGAAGGAAATTGACCTAAGATAGAATTCCAGAAATGCAGAAAAGAATAAAAAGCAGCAGAAAAAATAAATATGTGCTTGAATATCAATGAATAGTGGTTGAACACAGTAATGACAGTAATGTCTTACTGGGTGTAAAAATATAAAAATGAATATCATCAGATAAATGAACATACACACAAAAAAGAAGAATAGAGGCAGAATTGCTGTGACATTAGAGCATGTCTAACAAGTGATAAAAAGTAAAATGTATATTGGACTATAATAGATAATACATACAAATTGTAATCTCTGTGGTAACCACTAAAGGAATAATTAAAGAATGTGTAAGTAGCAACTAATAGGTATGGGGAGATAGATTTTTTTTTTTAAAAAAAGTAAGTTAATCCACAAGAAGGTTAAAAAATAAAAGGAGGTGGGGGGGAGGGAGGAGAGAAACCATAAAAGAAGTAGAACACGTGAAAACAAATAGTAAGGTGGTTCATATGAATACAAAGGTATCAGCAATTACATTAAATGTAAATGCACCAAGTACACAAAAGGTAGAGTTTCATGGACTTGATTTAAAGGCTATTTAAGGAACATAACAATTATAAGAATGAATAACAAATTTGAAAAAATAGGGGAAAGTGGAAAAAAAGATGCTATTGCAAATTGTAGAGGTAGTTTTTCACAATGATAAAGGGTTCAATCTGCCAGAAAAATGTAAATTTAAATGGGCATGAGCCTAATAACACAGTCTCAAAATATATAGAGAAAAATTGATGAAACTAAAAGGATATATAAATAAATCCACAATATAGTGAAAGGCTATAACCTCTCTCAACAATAGTAAGCAAAACAGACAAAAAATATCCATAAAGATATAGATGATTTGATCAATATAATTAACAAACTTGGCCCAATGGAAATGCATAGAACACCTGTACACAATAACTTTAGAATACATATTCAAGTACAAGGATCATTATAATACAAACATTATAGATAAGTCTCTCATGAACATAACTATTAAGTATAAAAATCCCTCAAAATATAATTGCAGATAAATTCAATTTTAAAAACACCATGTATTTGTGTGTGTCACTCACACACACATTTCTTGTTTCTGTCATAAGAATGTAAATTTGGTTTGATATCCAAAAATCAATCACTATAATTCCTCACATTAAAATAACAAAGGATAAAAATATGATTATCTTAAAGTTTAAAAAAAGCATTAAATAAAATCTAACACCAATTGTGATTAAAAAGAATTTCAGACAAGTTGGGACTATATGGCCATAAGTACATTAAAAGTCATATAACCAGGGCTGGGGATATAGCTCAGGTGGTAGAGTGCTTGCCTCACATGCACAAGGCCCTGGGTTCAATCTGCAGCACCACCAAAAACAAACAAACAAACAAAAAAACCATCATGATGCTTAATGTTGAATATTTATTTATTTATGGTACAGGGGATGGTACTGAACACAGGCCCTTGCACACGCTAGGTACATGCTTTACCACTGAGCTATATCCTCACCCGTTTAATGGTGAATTTTGATTGCTTTACCCCCTGAAATTGAAATTGAGACAAGAAGGCTCACCATCACTACTTGTAGTCACTATTCTGCTAAAAATTTTTACTTTTTGTATATTGATCTTCTATCCTACCACCTTGCTGAACTTGTTCATTAGCTTCATAGTGTGTGTGTGTGCATGCATGTGCATTCTTTAGGATTTTCTATATACAAGAATATGTCATCTCCAAATATTGTTTTATTTCTTCCTTTATGATCTAGGCACCTTTTATTTCTTTTTCTTGTCTAATTGCCTAAACCCTGCAAGAGATATAAGATATAAGGACTGGAAAAGAAAGAAATAAAACTGTTCTTCACAAAGGACATGAATACATACAAAGAATCTGCAAGCTGTTATAGCTTAAATAAATTTAGATAGGCCACTAACTAGATATAAAATCAACATACTTCTGTATCACTAGAATCTCTTTATATTAGCAACAGATAAATATAAAACCTAAGAACAAATCTACTGGAAGATGTGTAAGAACACTTTGCCCAAAAGTGTTATAAGAAAAATTTTAGAAACTTAAATTTAGGGATATACCATGTTAATAGAATAAAGATTCAATATTCTAAAGTTATTAAATGATCACCAAATTGGTCTATGTGTTTACTAAAATCCCATTAAATTATATCACCATTTTTGGTGGAAATTAGCTAGTTTATTTAAAAATGGTTTTATGGAAATGCAAAGGACTTCTTTCTGCTGGAGTTGCGTGCCATCAGAATTCGAGACAAACCAGGCTATGGGAAGCACTGACTCATGGGAAGCACATATGTATTCTTTTGCCCTGACCATGTCTGTATCCCAATGCAGCAATCCCTTCTTCCTTCCCATCTGGCAGACAGCCTGAGAGTCCCCTGCCATTTATTTTTATTTTTTATTATTTTTTATTGGTTGTTCATAACATTACAAAGCTCTTGACATATCATATTTCATACATTTGATTCAAGTGGGTTATGAACTCCCATTTTTACCCCGTATACAGATTGCAGAATCACATCGGTTACACATCCACGTTTTTACATATTGCCATACTAGTGACTACTGTATTCTGCTATCTTTCCTATCCTCTACTATCCCCCCACCCCTCCCCAGTCCCCTGCCATTTAGATTTCTTAGAGATGAATCAAAGATATCAGTATACTCTGTCCTGCAAAGAGAACGTTTATTAACTTTTCCAAGTGACCTTAGAAATGCCATTACTGATCATAAGCCTATAGGGGTGGTTGGTACCTATAGTCTCAGGACCCCAGAAAAACAGAAACAGTTCCACTTTAGTAGTCTTGTCTACCAGCATATAAAGGACTCCTATTATGACTCTACTATGGAACTGTTGGAAAAAACTACTATGGTATAGATTACGTTGAAAATGTGCAAGGGAAATGAGTGAGACAAAGCAGACACAAGATAGTCTATTGATATGGACCAATGCCAGGCAATGCTTGTATTTGTGTATTGACAGAGATCGGAACTGAAGTCAAAGAGGCACAAATTCAGCACAACAATCACCACCTTCTTTTGCTGAAGTTGCTTCACTGCATGAGAAAGGAAAGACACAGGTTCAAAGTTCTGTTCAAGTTATACAATAACAATGCATTGACTACAAGCTCTGCAGTATTAGGTGCAAAAACTGTCAGAGTAGCAGTGATAAGCACAATGACTGCTCATTAACTTAAGTACAACTTCTGGGGAATTGGTGACAGCAATTGTGGGAACTGCCACCTTAATGAATTTTATACTTGTCATAGCACAATAATCATACTGGAATTGCTAGGCTTATAAGAGTTCTCTGACTATACTATGGCCCCATGTGTTTACCATTTCCTGCCCAAAGTGACAGCCTCAGCAATTGATGATATTGACCAAAGTACCATAGAATCCAGCAGCAGATCATCTGCAAGATCAGGGGTATGAGGTTTTGGACCCTGGGGAGGGTACGCCACAGGCAAGACTTGGGTCCTGGGAGGGGGGCCTAACAAACAAGTGAAACCCTCCTCACCTAGCACAGTGAGCCTCTCTGACAGCTCATCTGCCATTTTGTCCATGGGTGGGCTGCTCACAGCATTCTCCCAGTTACATCATCCAGAAAAGTGTATGTTCTTTGCTAGGCAGAAGGCGGAGAAACCGCAGTTGAAATGTAATGCAGTGTAGCATCAACACACTAGGTATAAAATCAACATACTTCTGTATCACTAGAATCTCTTTATATTAGCAACAGATGAATATAAAACACCTAAGAATAAATCTACTGAAAGATGTGTAAGAACACTTTGCCCAAAAGTGTTATAAGAAAAAGTTTAGAAACTTAAATTTAGGGATATACCATGTTAATAGAATGAAAGATTCTATATTCTAAAGTTATAAAATGACCACCATATTGGTCTATGTGTTTACTAAAATCCCATTAAATCATATCACCATTTTTGGTAGAAATTAGCTAGTTTATTTTAAAATGGTTTTATGGACATGCAAAGGACTTCTTTCTTCTTTCTCATTGTTGCATGCCATGAGAATTTGAGACATACCAGGCTATGGGAAGCCATCGAGATGATGGGACCTAAGTTCACCCTGTACTTCCAATCAGATATGCCATCCCTAAATAGAATATTTCTTCTGAACACCTGACACCTGATATCACATCATGACTGTGATGACCAGGAGTCTAGATTCCAGGCCCACACAGCCCCACAGCTAAAGAAGGGTGGAGTGAGTTGCGGGGGTGGGGGGCAGCGCTCCTGGCCACAACTGCTGACTGGGGCAGAGCTTCCTTGTTCCCTCTTTTCTCCTGCCTATCAGCATTCAGGTACCCCTGGTTCATGCTGGCCCAGTGAGACACTGGATGAAATGTCCTTGCTTGTGGCTGCTGCATATGACTGTGCGGTCAGTGAGCTTCTGAAGCAGAACTGCAGTTCTGGGTGCTGGGTCAGGGCTCAGTGGGGCCACAGAGTGCATGCCATCGTTTCACCAGCTCCTTGGGCTTGCTGAGCATCTCGTCCCAGTGCTCCAGCTCTCTACCACGTGTGTACATGTAGGGTCCCACCACCACACGACCCAGAGGGTGGCTCCCTGCAAGAAGAGAGAACTCCATTTGCTCTTGAGCACAGAAGTCACATCACTCACACCCCAACATCCCCAGTGACTTTTCTCTCTGTCTCTGTGTCTTACTTTCCCTTGAAGGAAGCAGTAAGCCCCCTGCTCTCCAAGCATGAGCTGTCAGCCCCTAAAAGGGCCCTTAATTTGCTCTGGGGCTGAAGAACTGCTTTTTTTCTCCCTTGGAAGTCCCAAGGTATGAGAAAATGCAGGCATATAACGCCCACCTTGCAGATCACTGGATTGGTGCTAGGCAGCCATGCAGCCTCCTGATCCCTCCAGTGATTTGCCCAGGAATAGGTAGTAGAGACCATCCATTAGCTTCTTTCTAGGGTACCACAGACAGTCCAACTGGAACTCTGGAATCCCAGCACTCCTGATGACTAGCTGTGTATCCTTGGGCAAGTATCTCAGTTTCTATGTGAGAATTTCTTTAACCAGAGATCAGAGGTTGGATCTCAGCTCCTCCTGAGGTAAGGCATTCATTCTGACTTTGCCACATTACCCCAGTAGCCTGAGGGGTGGGGAGGATATCCTTACTGTCCCCTTCAGTGCTCTGCAGCACTGTCAGGCTGAGGCTGGCGGTGTCCAGCTCGGTGGCATCGGCCTTGAAGCTGAAGGTCTCATTGTACACAGGGTTGACGGAACCCAGCACAGCTGAAGTCTTCTTGGACTTGACAAACTTGTTTTGGTTCATCAGGGACACTTTGACAAACACACCTGAGGGGCAGTGCACACCAGTAACTGGGAGACCAGCAGGAACCCAGCATGCACCCATGAAAGCCTGGTTAGGAGGGTATGAGCCCAACCCAGGCGCCAGGTCCTCATCACTCACAGTGCTGCTGAGGCAAGAGGGTGTGACAAGAGGAAATGGGGTTGATTAATGTCATGTCTCATGGCCAAGGAAATGCTTAGCTCCTTCCTTTTCCTCCCTCTTTGCTTAGGAGACATGTTTGAGCTGACCCTTGTTCATTGGAGCCTGGTAGCACATACCCATCCCTTTCCATCAGGGAGGGGGGCTATCTTCTGAGTGCTCAGGACCCTTGGGTCCCTTGAATACCTGTTTGATCAGAGGGCTACGATTTAGAGGGAGGAGCCCAGATGGCCTTTGAATCCACAAAGAGACACAAACTCCAACAGGCTGCAGACAACCTCTATTTTGCTAGGGGCACCCACAAGGGGCAGGACTTATCTGCTGCTTTTCAGCTCCTGGGTTTTGGAGGCTGGGGAAAGTGGGTTCACTATTCGCTGGGCATCAGTGCCCCAGGGAGTGCTCAAGCCTTTCCCCTGGTAGGAGGGAGGCAGAGTACTGGACCCATTCAGCTGAGGGACAGGTAGAGGCAGAGATAGGCAGGACAGTCAAGGAGCCAAGACACTGCCTTGGAAAACAGGAGGGACAAGGTGTGGTCTTGGATCAGATTAGAGCCTTTGGGAGGGTGCAAGGGGATACAGCCTTGGGTTCTTGCACCAGAACTTTCCATGGATGGAGGGCATATCATGGAAGGCAGTGAGCACTCTTGTGAATGGGTTATGTAGGCAGAAATGAGAATATAAGGGTGAGGGTAAGACTCCAGCCCAAGCCCCAGGTTCACCAGGTGAGATCTTCCCCAGGAGGATAAGGGAGGTGACTCACTGACAACACTTCTGTCTTCCTGGAGCTGGAGGCCTTTGGCACGAAGCACGACCACAGTCAGGCGGTTCAGGTAGTCATTGTAGCTGAGGCAGAACTGAAGGTCGCCAAACTCTGAGGGAGGCTGGGGAGGCCAAGATGGAAGCACCCACCCATCACAGGTATAAGAGGGGCTATAGAGTCCTAGAATGCCTCCTGCCCTCTTGGCAGTCAAGGCTAGGGTGCAAGTGATACACCCCAATGGGTTCCTTTGAGCCCCAATCATTTTATAGATGGGGAAAGTGAGGTCTGGAGAGTTAAAGGGACCTGTGCAGTATGTTGATTTGACATTCTATTTCAAAACTCTGAAGTCTAAATATTCCAACATCCAGAACTTGTTGAATGCTAAGTGGAAAGTTTCATATCACGAAACTTTTTTTATGAACGAAATTATTTAAAAACATTGTATTAATTTTTTGTTGGACTTGGGTCTTATTTGTACGTATTTATATATACATACAAATATTCAAAAAATCCTAAATCTGAAACACTTCTGATCTGAAGCATTTTGGATAAGGGGTACTCAACCTGTAATATGGATCAGAGCCAAGAATTCACACACAAGTCTATGGGGTTCCAAAGCCTATGCTGAGCCACGTGGATCCTTCCCGGGGGATGGGAGAATGATAGATAAATATTTCCCTGGGCTGGTCTATTTGTGCTGTCATTTTTCTTAGTGGTGGGAATCCAAATGTGCATTTTTTGGATCGATCCAGATAATATGACAGCCAGTGTGGAAAGACCTTAGGTGACCCCTACCGGCCCAGGAGGAAGTCCATCCCAACTCTTCTCAGGAGCTAGCTCATGGATTGGGCCTGCCTTCCTGACTCCCTCCTGTAGGGTGGTATGCAGTGTGCTGAGGACTGATGTTGGCCGGCAGGTGCTGGGTGGGCTTTGAGAATGCCTGCTGGCTGCCCACAGCAGTGCTGACTGTACGTCTGGTGACCTCCACCTTACCTCCAGGCTCTCAGCCTCTAGGTCTCTCCAGAAGACATGGTGGCAGTCACCTGCTAGGGTCTCATTCTTCAGCGGGAACAACACCTGTCCCAGGAGTTGGTGCTTCCTCTGTCTGTTCACATGGTACACTGAAAACTTCAGCACCCTCTGGGTCACACTCTTGCAGGATACCTGCGGGAGATGAGGATGCAGGCCAGGGTCAGGCATCGGGGTAGATGATGGGATGCTGACATGTGTGACATAGGCACTTTTACTGAGGGGTACCTAAACCAGGCATCTACATACCCCAGACCCAGACATCCTGTGGGGACCCTTCTCCACAGCAGGGCCAAGCACACATGGGAAGTGCAAGTGCATGCTAGAGCCTTGTTGCACAATGTGCTCTGAGGATATGCAGCATCAACAACTGCCTGGGCCTTGTTAGAAAGGCAGGATCTTGGGCCCCATCTTGGGCTCATGAATGAGAATCTGCTCCTGAACAAGACTGCTAAGTGCTTTGCCTGCCCATTAAATGTGCCAGGACATGACCTATCTACTATCAGAGTTGGGTACAATATTCTCCCCTCTCAGAGACTTGGCCTCTTCACCTGTAAAATGGGGATCATGGTTCTTCCTGTCTGATTTGTAAAGCCCCAGTCACCGTCTGAGCTATATAGATGGCCAATTAGTACTCATTTCCTTCTCTTGCTCCTTCTCCTACTTTTTCCCACTCAAAGCACAAAGAGGATAGGATCAAGTATGGATGGGGTTGGGTGGGGAAGGGGTGAGTAAAATGAATGAATGAATGGATAAGCATGGTGCATGACTGTGTACGTTAGCAAGGCTGCAAGGCACTCCTTGGATCCTGATGTCCTAAGATGGGGCAAATTCACCTGTGAATTCTCACTGCTTCTGACCCAGCAGGACAGCCTGGAACAAGGCTGCCCCTCCTCCCAGTTCTCAGCATTGGAGGAAAGCATGAATCATAACTCTGGCCTCAGTAATCATGCTCTTTCTGGAAGTGGGATTGTCTTTCCTTACCTCTCAGGCCAGCATGCTGTACTGATCTTGAGAAAATGTTTGTCAAAGGCCTCTTGGCAGGTCTCAATTGCTGACTTCCCCTAAGGGCCCCTAGTCACCTGTTGAGGCTCCCAGGCCCTTTCCAGCCAGATGCCCTAATGGCCTCTCTACCTGTAAACCCAGAGGGGTTCAGCCCGAGGTGCAGCAAAAACACAGTACCTGCCCCAGTGTGGCTCTTGGTCCCCGTGCCAGCCTCTAAAAGCAAGCATAGGACAGTTTCTGCCCCGACTCCAAAGGGCCTGAGGTAACTCTAAGCAAAATGAATATTCATCTTCCTTGGGTAACCTTGCCAGAAACCCCTTATTGTTTCAGGTTTTTGGAATGCTTTCTCTGAGACTCGTGGGCTAGAGCCTAGAATTTAGTAGGTGCACCAAAATGTGTTTTCTTCCTCTCCTCTAGGCAGCCAGGACAGGCTGGTCCCTTTCATCAGGGCCCACCTCTTTTTTTTTTTTAATTTTTTTTTTTAATATTTATTTTTTAGCTTTTGGCGGACACAACATCTTTGTTTGTATGTGGTGCTGAGGATCAAACCCGGGCCGCACGCATGCCAGGTGAGCGCGCTACCGCTTGAGCCACATCCCCAGCCCCAGGGCCCACCTCTTATAGACCCTGACTTGGTCAGCTTGTTAAGCAGATCTGGAGGCACCAATGGTCCCAGGGGCTAAACAGAAGGCTGGACTGTCCTGCATAATGTTCCTTCCCATAAGGCTGGAAGACACAGGCCCTGTCTGCCCAGGGACTATACCTGGAAGATGAAGTGTTCATCAAACTGTGGGCTGGAGGTTTTGCGTTTGGTCTTGGACTGGAGGAAGCGCCGCTCATCAGGCAGTAGGTGGAGCTTCACCAGGAGGCTGCAGGTCTCAGAGGGTGCTTGCAGCAACCGTGCCTTGATCAGGCCCACCAGCAGCTGCTCAGTCTCCTGCTGGTATTCCACAGAGAACCACAGCCGGCCCAGGCAGCCGTCAGGGAAATGAGTTTCACTTGTGTCCTCTGGAAACTTGTACAACTCTGGGTTGATGGTCCCCACCACACCTGCATCTCCTACAACAGAATGGCTTGAAGGTCTGGCTGGCAAGAGGAAGACAGGTACATGGAAGATAGTAGCAAGATCTAGCCATATCACTATTGTGGCCCTTCTCCCTTCATCTGAGCCTCAACTAGTCTGACCACCTCTACCTCACTCTCTTCTCCAGACTATGAAGGTGACCTCCCTCTGGTGCATGTAAGCATTCCATTACCCATTCAATGCCTACTCCACACACCTGTGCCCTATGGTCAACTCCTATCCCTGGAGGTCAAGGCATGCTTTCCAGTACATTCTGTCCAGCACCTGGCCTGGTCCCTTTCCTCGGTGCCTAGAGAATGACCCAGTGATAACATGTTGCATTTTTTTCTTCCTCTTCAAATTGGAAGTACCAAGCTGATTACTGGGTGGTTCCTGAGAAGGTCTCTTGGGAGATTTTCAGAAGCAAAGAGGAGACTGGAAAATTGTCTCTACCTCCTACACTTCTGCCTTCTCAGTTGGCCATCATCTCCTGGAGCAGGGTGTTGTATAAGTTCTGCACCTGGTTACACCTACTTTTGAATCCCAGACCTGTTGCTTATTGCCTCTGAGACCTTGGTAAGGCACTGCTGCTAAACTTCCAGAATGTAAAATGAGTTACTTCCTTCCCCACCAAGATGTTAAGGTCTAACTCCAAAACAGCACAGTGGTCATATCTCAAGGGCATGAAGTGCAGTCGGTACTTGGTAAGTGAAAGTACCCAGAAAGAATGGTCTCTGGGTAACTCTGGCCTTCCTGGGCCAGAGGCTGTTTAGCAGCCAGACTCGGGAAAGCAGGTGGATCCACCAAGCCCAGGCAGACCCTGACCTGCGGGAGTACTCACCAAGATTGCCACTGGAGGTATGAGGCAGGAGCTCTGGGGCTAGACAGGGGTCCTGTGGGGCCCGGGACAGCTCTTTGTTATGCAGGGGTACCCAGTCTCGGCCTTGGAAGGAAGGGGGCACCATGAATGGCACACCTGATGGCCTGTTCAGAAGTAAAGAAACAAAATGTAGATGGCAGGTCAAGGGTGGGGCCTCAGTGTGCTCAGCCAAGAGGGGTTGAGTGCCAGGGACTGGAGGGAGAAAAGTCACTGGGAGCCAGGAATAGGTAAAAGCATCATTTTCTGGGTCCACACCAGGATGGACAGACACACACACACACACACACACACACACACTCACAGCCAGTCAGTGCCTCTGTCTGCCCACAGCAATGGGGTATTGGAGAAAGAAAAATAGCCTCCAATGTCAGCCTACCCAGTTTCTAATTCCTGTTCTGCCTCTTACTAGTTTTGAAGCCTAGACCTGTTACTTTATGTTCTCTGAGCCTTGGTTTACTCAGCTAGACATGGGTTCACAATGCCTATCTCACAGCTTATGGTGAAGTTTCTGGGTTTCTTTGCCGTGGGCTTGCAGGAAGAGCTCTAAAAACAGAACTTTTCTTTTTCACCCAATCCGATGGCAACTCCACAGAGAGGACCCTAGAGAAAGAACCACTTGGCCCCCATCCTGCCTTACCTGCTCAGCTGGGTCCTGGAATGTAGCTGACAGCGCTTGTCCCCCTGTCTGCTGGAGGCAGCGCTGATGGCGGTGGCTGGTGTCTCTGGCAGCTCCTCATAGGTGAAGGTGGCACAAAACCTCCTCCACAGACAGCAACTCACACCAGTCAACAGCAGTAGAAGCAGGCCCCCAAGGATGCCCCCAATCACCAGGGCCAGCTGCTCTGAGGACAGAGACCACCAGGCAGACAGTGATGCCTGCCTGGTGAAAGCCACTCCCCCACACAGCTCTGACCTGTGGGGGCAAGATTGGGGTAGCAACCCCACACCCTGGGTTATATTTCTGGAGTAATGCTGAAGCAAGCGGCTGGCTGGACTCTGCCAGGTCTCAGTGGGACAAGGCATTTCCATTGGGGCCCTAGTGTCTGCCCCCCGGAAAGCCTTAGTGTTTCTCTTGGAAAGCAGCAGGCCCTGGATTTGAGATTGTGACTGAAATGAAGTGTTTCTTGTTTTTTTGATTGGAAATCAAATCTTCTCCTACCAGAGCCTTCAACTTCCCTGAGATCCTTTTGAGGTTTGAAGGTGGTCTTGTGGATAAGCACACACGGCAAGGAAAGCCCAAGGAGGAACCCATGCCCCTGATGTGGCACCCAGGTTCCAGCAGGTTCTGGACGTTGCTGTGAGGCTGGACTCATCTTGGGTTTGGTAACCTTCTCTAACACCAGTTCCCTTCCCCAGCCCTCTATCAAGATGAGCCTGTACTTAGGGGAGATCATGGGAGGCAGTGGAGAGGGGTGTGGGGCAGCAGTTGTGGGAAACAGAGACATATGGGCCTTTCCCTGTTGCACTCACACGCCTATATTTGTGGGTTCCTGGGAGGCTTTGCCAGGAGCCCGCTGAGGACGCGTTGGCCCCTTTCAACTGGTCATCACAGAAGGACAAAGGGGCACTTGAAGGGGCGGGGGCTTCCCGGGCTCCAGGCTCTGGGTTATTGACCAGCTGGGGTGGTGAGAAGGCCAGACCCCGACACTTTCTAACTTGGCAATTGTTTTCCAAGAGCCGACCTGTCTACTCCATTCTGCACTCCTCTAGGAGCCGGGCTGAGGCCAGACTGGGCAGGAGCTGTGGCCCAGCAGGGTCTGCAGGGCGGAGGCAAGTGCTGGAACCTGTCGCCCAGAGTAGCCTCTCATGACTTAGAGCCCGGGGCAAAGAAGACAGGGCACTTACCCGCCATGAGGCTGCTCTGTCCGGTCTTGGGGCGCCAGATGGGGCTCAATCTCTAGGGTCTCTGCATCTCCTTCTGGAGCCGCGGGGCAGGCACTTCAGGCGTGGCGCAGGGCCATCGGGAAGTCGCGGGGGCGATGGGTTGAGGGTTGCTGCCCTGAGGTTCGCAGCGGAGTGGCTGGCGGGGGCAGGGATCCGGAGTTCCGAGGCCAGAGCTCCGCCCCAGCCCGACCCTGGCAGAGGCCGGGAGGGGCGCGGAGCCCGCGGTGCGCTCTCGGAAACCGCCCGGCTCCGGGCGGGGCGGGTCTCAAGCGTCCTCAAGGCTCCCTGAAGCTACGGGCTGGGTGGGCTGCAAAAAGGAGGGCAAAGCTAAAGCCTTCTCCACCAGGTTGTGACAGAGAACTCCACATCTGGTCCCTCACACCTGTTGTCCTTGGCATATGTCGTATCAAGTTGACCTCATGGGTCATTGTCGCAGTGGACAAAATAACCAAGAGTTGAGAGAGATTCTGGAGCTCGATCTGGTAGGGTTCCTACTCTGGCTCCCCACCCGCCAGCTGTGAGAGTTGGCCCACTTCAGTTTAACCCTCTGTGCTCCCTCTCCTTGGTTGGATAATAACAGCATTCCCGGGGGTTAATGTGTATAAGGGGTTCTCACAAGGATGATTGGCCCAACATTGACTTACAATGTATGTAAAGGGCACTTAAATTAAAAAAAAAAATAGTGCAGTGTGTTCCAGCCACTGCTATGGAGACTATATGACTGAGGGAGTTGTCCCCTGGGTCATCTACTCACAGCCCTTAATACTGTGGCAATTACTATCAGACCACCTGCTGGTGAACACAGCCTTGGTCAAGAGGCTCCTGGAAAGGCACTGGGGTCTTCTGTGCTTTGGCATCAAGTGGATGCAGTCCAAGGATACCGCACCCTACTCTCATCTGCACACATCCCCTTGGAGAGGACCTGAAGGGGAGAGCTTGAGACTTGGAGGTGTCTCTTTCATGAAGGTGATGTCTAAAGATAGCCTGAATTGGCCTCCCCTAGTCATCCATGCCTAGGGAAGGCTGGGTAGGCAAGTGGGAGGGAGGGGACTCAATAGTCAGTGGGCATGAGGATCTGGTCCTGCTGGGTCACCCTAGGCGGAATAGGTGGTAAATTGGGGTATCCCTCATCTTGTGGCCACCTTCTGCAACTATGGGCAGAGGCAGTGGTCACTCTCCTTGTGGAGTATGAATTTAGGGAGGAGGTAATGACAAAGCAGGATCCCCACATTTGGTCAGCCACACTTTTTACCCCACCATTACTCTTGCTAAGAACCAGGCAGAGGTCTGTATTTCTCCTACTGTCATCTCTCCTGGCACAAACTTGCCTTCAGGCTCCAGTCAGACTGGAGTGTCAGGAGGATCACAGGACCCTGACTTCTGCTTCCACATAGGTAACCAATGGAGGCCACAACTGGAGCAATGTCTCCAAAATGGGGCACTGCCAAATGTCCCATCTTCATCTCATGTGTGCGTTAGATATCTGTACTTTTTAGTTTCCCATTGCACTGCCTTAAATTAGAACCGATTTAGCTCTTTAAAACATAAGTTTAGTGTAAGAAACATTTACCCAAATCCATCTGGCTACTTTTGTTTGTGGCAGAAACTGCACTGTTCCTGTACCCCCAGGTTTTAAGCCTCATTTACATTTGAAAAATGGACTTGCTCATGCTGGGAGAAGAATGTTATAATTTTTACTTATTAAAGTTGACTCATATATATATTTTTTTTTGGCTGGGGGTACCAGGGATTGAACTTTGTGGCACTCAACCACTGAGCCAGATCCCCAGTCCTATTTTGTATTTTATTTAGAAACAGGGTCTCACTGAGTTGCTTAGGGACTCACTTTTGCTGAGGCTGGCTTTGAACTTGTGAACCTTCTGCTTCAGCCTCCCCAGAAGCTGGGATTACAGGTGTGCACCACCAGGCCTGGCACCTCATAATGTTTTTAAAGTTAAAAAATATATATCTTAATGTTCTAAGAGACAGAAAGATGTCTTCCTTTTGGAGGCTCTAGCAGAGAAGCTATTGTCTTGCCTTTTCCAACTTCTAGAGGCTACCTACTAGAGGACCCCCTATCTTCAAAGCCAGAAGCACAGCATTTTCTTATTTGACTCTGGGTCATTTTAATAACTGTTTCTGCCTCCCTCTTATAAGGACCCTCAAGATTATATGGGTCCCACTATACAATCCAGAATAATCTCCACATATCAGTATCATTAAGTGATTCACATCTGTAGTATCCCTTTTGCTATGTAAGAGACTCATGGATTTTGCGTACTCATGGGTTCTGGAGTATGGATATCTTTGGGGCCATTATTGTATTGACCAGAGAGATCCCATGCAGCACTTTGGAGTGGTAGAGGTGGTGGCTTACATTCTGCCTCCTGCTGTCTGGAGCTCTCAGTGTGTCCCATGGCTGCACTCAGGCAGCTAATAAGGTTCTCATGACCCCTTTGTGGTAATTTTTCAATAGCCTTGATCCCTCTCCCCAGATGTCCTGCACCCGAGCCTGACTGTTCTGTGCTTCGGTACCAACTGTCTCACACACACATGTTCCTTCACACTGTGTTCCAAATAGCCCCAGACAGCTCCTTGTGCTCAACAAAAAGTATATTGAGCCAACAAAAATGATGTGGAGCCAACTCCACATAATGGATATGATATCCCATCCACATGGGCTGTCTCCATGGTGGGGCCTAAGCTGTGCAGGGTCTATTCTGAATGTGGGGTGGGATGGTGTGTGCTCTTTGAAAAGTGAACTCCTGTTGGCCAGTCAGGCCCGAGCTGCCATTCTTCCCCCCCCAGGCCCATGTTGTATCTTTTCAGGGTGCCCATTCTCCTCCCTGGTCTCCTTCTCTGATTGCTAGCAGTCACCAAATCCTTCCAGCTCTTTCTCTGTTCATCCATCATTACCAAAATGCTCATCCTGGCCTCCATCAGCTCACACCTTCAGAACTGCATCAGCTTCCTCTGTACTCCCCAGATTCTATCCTGTACCTTTCCCCAGCTATGTCATCTGGGCTCTATCCCATCCCTCTGTGATACTCAACGTCCAGTCTGGTGAAGCTACTCTGGAACCTCTGCCAATTAACTGGCTCCCTCTCAGCATATCTGAAATACTGTGTCCCTCCTGTCCTCCTTCCCTGTTGCTCATCTCAGGTTCTCCTCCATTAAATCTTTTGTCACCCACTCCTTGTCCTCAATGTTCCTACAGATACCATATTGACTATGGGATTGTGGGCTGTGACCACCACTCCACTGTACTCTCCTGGTAGACCAGCACCTCCATGTAGGCAGGGGCCATGTTTTATTCAGCTGGACATTCCCAGTGTCCACCCCCAGGATGAAGAATGTACTAAATGGTAAAGGGCTTGTGCCTTCAGGATGAGCTCCCTGGTTTCTGTTAGCTTTGTCCATGTAGCTGACACATTGTGGATCACACATTTGGGCCTGGAAGGAGTTCCCCGGCCTTGTCCTGGACACTACCTGCTGGGTTTGCTTATGTTGCTAGCTGTGTTGGCAAGTACCTTCTACAGCCAGTCCACCATGTTTTGGGTCTTCCTCTGCTGGAAGACAGAGCAGGTGGCAGCAGAAAACTCATCTTTCTTGTGAATCCTGATATTATGGGCATTGCGATGCAGGCTGGATCTTTTGTCACTGAACCTTATGTCAGCCTGCAGTGGATCATGCCCTTAGTTAAGGACATTAAAGAAGGTTCATGGTCAGCCCAGTAAGTGGTGGAGCTTGACCTGGCTACCTGGCCCCCTTATTCTTTCCTCCTCACTGACCGGCCCATGCAAAACCCCAGGAAACCATTTCCTATGGAGATGCCCATGAACCAGGCCAAGAGCCTTAGGCACTGTGGCTAATCTCCCTTCCATCCACTGTCCCACAGGGCCTCTGAGATTGGTCTGGCCTGGAGCCAATTCCACATAATAGAAGCACTTCCCAGGGCTGGCTGCAGTCCTGGCCCTGCTTCCTGTTTTCAGATCGTGCTCCTTACCAGATCTCTGGAGCTGGGAACCTGGAAACAGGAGCAGACATGATTTCTCTCGCCTGTGGGCAAAAGGAAGTCATATTTCCATTGGCAAGAGCATTTCCAAGGAGAGTGGCAGGAAGTCCAAGAGTTTAAAGGCCTACAAATGCCTGCAGGTGATTAATAATTCAGTGCAGTGGATGATTCATGAGAAAGGCCACTTTTAATTAACCTTAAGAATCAGTCCCTGTCTAAGGAAGTGTCATCTCTCATCACTTAGGAACAGAGAGGCTGGGGCAGAATAAAGGCCATACCGAGAGATGTGTACAACACTGTGTTTCTCACATTTATGTAAATTCCATCCCGGTCACCTCAGGTCCCTCTTTATGAGAGGGGGAAAGATTCCCCTCCACAAGCACTCTATCTTTTGTTCTGCTAGGGTGGCCTCAGGCTCAATTTCCTACAGCTACCTGTTACGGTTTGGATCTTAAATGTCCCTAAAAGGCCAGTGTGATGAAGGCTTGGTAACCAGCCAAGAGTAGTATTGGGAGTTGGTGGAACTTTTTAGGAGGTGGGGTTTAGTGGAAGGAAATTAGGCCATTGTGGGTAAGGCCCTGAAGGAGATAGTGGAACCTTCACTGCTTCCTCTCTCATTCTTTGCTTCCTGGATGCTCTATTATGTACTCCCTGCTCTGATGGTCTCTTCATCATAGGCCCCAAAACAATAGAGATAACTGTGGACTGAAACCTCTGAAGCTGTGAGCCAAACAAAAATTTCCTTCTTACAAGTTGTTTATCTAAGGTGTTTGTTTGTTTGTTTGGTTTTAGTTGTAGATAGACACAATACCTTTAATTTATTTGTTTATGTGGTGCTGAGGATCGAACCCAGTGCCCCACATATGCGAGACGTGCCCTCTACCACCGAGCCACAACCCCAGAGCCCTATCTCTGCTGTTTTGTCACAGTGATGGAAAGTTCACTAATATAAAACCCTTTCTTTTGAGGAGCTGAGAGGTGTGATCTCTTTGTTGGGCCAGGAGTCTCCCCTGTCTCCTCCTCCACCATGCTGGCTCCAAATGTATCCCATCCTGTGGAGAAGCACCTAGAATGTGAAGATAGAGCCCAGGACCCACCCCTGGACTCACTGCTGCACCTCAAGAGTATTTTCTGCTCCCCTGCTCTGTTCTCCCTTCTGCTTCCTCATGCCTGGTAGCCCTCTCCCTTA